GACAAGGTGGCTTCGGCACAGTTTACAAGGTATCTAAGAGTTATGACCTCCTTTCCCTGCAAATTTTATTATGAGTTTTGCTTATGTGCCGGATTGATGTATCATATCTGAATTTGTAAATTAAATTCAACTGTTCAAGGGTGTGCTAGCAGATGGGAAGGAAGTGGCAGTTAAAAGGCTGTCGAGGAGGTCGTGGCAAGGTTTAGAAGAGTTGAAGAATGAAGTCATATTAATTTCAAAACTTCAACATAAAAACCTTGTCAGGCTATGGGATGGGGAATTGAAAGGTGAGGAAAAGCTGCTCATATACGAGTTTATGCAAACAAAAGCCTTGATTTCTTCATCTTTGGTATGTCCCTTATCTTCCACAGTGACTAGAAGCTCATGTGAATCTTTTTGTTTATCAATGATCTCCAATATATAATTTCTTTTAAGATCCGGAGAAACGTCCACAACTTGACTGGAAGACATGCTGTGAAATTATAAGTGGAATTGCCAGGGGACTTCTTTATCTTCACGAGGACTCCCGACTTAAAATCATTCATAGAGATCTAAAACCCAGCAATGTATTGCTGGACCAAGACATGGTTGCCAAGATATCAGATTTCGGCATGGCAAGGATTTTTTGTGAAAATCAGAATTCAGCTAACACTAAAAGAGTTGTGGGAACATAGTGAGTTTGCATTTTCTTAAATCTTTATTCTTGACCCTTGCTTGATAAATACTAAAAGGGAAAAAAATGGCTGGTATTTATACATGAAACAGTGGATACATGGCTCCAGAATATGCAATAGAGGGATTATTCTCTGTGAAATCAGATGTTTTTAGCTTTGGGGTGATAATACTAGAGATTCTGTGCGGGAAAAAAAACAGTGGCTTTTACGTAGCGGAACATGCCCAAACACTTCTTGCATATGTGAGTTTACCTGTTTGTCAAAATTAAAGTATCCCTCCATCAGTTCAATTCTGTATTGTGTCTAAAAATTATTTGTGTGAATTCATTGGTAGGCCTGGCGACTATGGAAAGAAGGGAGAGAACTGGAAATAGTAGACCCTTGTTTGCTGGAATCATGCTCAACACCAGAAATCAATAGGTGCATTCATGTCGGGCTTTTATGCGTGCAGGAAGATCCAGCAGACAGACCCACCATATCTGATATTGTGGTTGCGTTAGGAAGTGATACGCAAACAATTGCTCTTCCAGAACCAAGGAGACCTGCATTTTCTGTTGGCAGAGTGGTTGCAGTTGATCAGTCTTCAACGAGAGATTCATCAGTAAATCAGATGACAATATCTGATATCTCAGCCCGTTGAATGTATTGACCCCAGTAACAAATGAAAGTTAATCTAACAGCTGTCGACTGATTTCATTGATAAGACGGAAGTTCAATGTTCAAAATCTCTATTCCCTATGTTCAAATATAACAAGAATATCGATAAGATTGATCTGTTAATGGGGCACGAACGTAAAATGTTATTAGCAATACTGTTTATATGCACTGTGATAATTTTCTGTTTGTTTTGGATAATCTATGAGACCTACAATTGTTTGCTTCCACCTAAATAAGGTAAAAAAAAAAAACTATCAAATTACCTTAATTATGAGAAAATGCCTTAATTAAAGAAGATTAAGGATTACATCTTTCAACACATTAGTGCACGACATTTATTATCTAAGTTTTAGTAAATTTTGTCTCACATGCATGCAAGACATAATTAATAGTAGTAGTACTACTTGAAACCTGTCAACGGACAGCAGGCTGATAGAGGGTTCTGGTCAGGTCAAGGTATCCAGTACATCGTCGGGCTTAAAGTGGTGAAAGGGCGGAACGCACTTTCCAGGAACTACGCCAAGTGTAGTAAAATTTACCAGCATTCAATTTATCTGCCTTAAGTTGTAGCCTGATTTAGTGATTCCGCCTTCTTTGTCTGTTGAATTTTCCCTTTGCTTATTAGCAAATAATCAACTGCGTGTTGGATTGATTTGTACCCCAAAATGTCGCAGTCATTGTTTCAGTGGATCCATTCGTTTTTTTTTTCCACATTCTTGGTCAATTTATTGCATTTCCACGTAGTTTCCCAGTATACTATTTAAGAAATTCATCAACGGGTGCACATGATATGACTTTCACTTGACGGTTCTTGCTCACCAGAAACTGCTTGTCAGGATTTCTATCTCATACCAATATTTAAGGTCTACCTGAAGGTTAAGCTGCAGTTGAGCCAATATTGCAGTGTTGCTGAAACTGGAGAGACAAGATATGGATCATTCTAGGTCTACAAAAACCATTCCTTTGCTTTTACTTTTGCTTTGTTCTTTTCTATTTGGTCTTCATGATCTTGCTCTTGCTGATCCTCCCTACCTACATTGTTCAAACAACACTAGCAATAATTTATTGAATAGCTCATTTCAAAATAATCTCAACAATCTCCTTTCTTTATTACATTCAGGGGCTTCTATCTCCAAATACAACAATACCTCTTATGGGAATGGCACCGATGGAGTTTATGGTCAGTACATGTGCCTCGACAATGTTTCATATGGAACCTGCCAAGCCTGCATCTCTGGTGCATTGCAGGCTATCGTGAATCTTTGTCGAAACAGAATGGAAGTAGTCGTATGGGAGGAAAATTGACAATTGCGCTACTCAGATATTAAGTTTTTTGGCCGATTGAATGTGGCAGACAATTTTTGCAAAGATAATGTTATTAACATCTCTGATCCTGTACACTTCCAATCTATTGTAGAGAACAAGCTGCAACATCTTACCAAAAGGGCAGCATTCAATTCTTCAGCAAATATGTATGCTGCTGGAGGAGAACCAAACACAGCAGATGACACCCTGTATGCTATGGTGCAGTGCACCCGAGACTTATCCCCAGATGACTGCAACAAATGCCTTGAGGCTGCCATTAAAGATGTTTCTTCTGAGTGCTATGCTTCTGGGGGGGCGCGACTTCTTAGCAGCAGCTGCTATCTTAGGTATGAGTTATATGCCTTCTATGAAGGCCCCAAAGAGTCCTCTGTTTCCACCAAAAAGGAAGGAGGTAAGCAAATTTATTTCAATTTAAGAATTGATTACATGAACCTCTTAATAAATAAATAAATAAAATCCTCTGAAAGTGATACTAGTATTTGCTCCCTCAAATTCAGGCGGTGGAAGGAAAATATGGATGATTGTAGTTCTTACAATTGGAT